GGTATAAATAAACATTTTTTTTTCCTAAAAATGTAAATGTCATCCTAGTTTCCTCCAGTGTGCACGTTGTTAAACAGTTAGTGTTGTCAGTGGTAATCTGTAGTGTTTAAAACAGTCTTGCTTATGTAGTGTCTTGTGCTTTTTTGGGCTGAATGAGATCATTGCACCGTTTTCTTTGTTAAACACGTCTGCACACAGAAGCAGAACTGCTTAATTTGTTTCGATCAGGCTTACTGTAGTAAATCTGCTTTTAAATTGTATTGCTTAGTAGGTTACAAATCAGATGGCAGCACTTTCATGGTGCTCATTCTCCAGTGTAGCTGGAGCCACTGACTTTAAAAGTTTCTGATTGCTTTTCTTTTATGCTAAGTCTTCCATAATTCACCTGGCTTGCTTAGATGACCTGCTGCTTATTTTCCACAGCAAGACTTTCTCTCATTTGGGAAACGTAAAAAGCCCAGACGTTCCTAGCCCAGACAGAAGCAAAATGTAGCAGTGCCATCTGGGCTGTGAAATTGGCATAAAGCTGAAAGCGTTACCTCGGTATATTGCCATGGCTAGAAGCCAGGTGGCAAGTAATAAAAGGATGGTCTGGTAGTTGGTGTGTTAGTTTGGAGACTGCATGTGCTTGTGCTGCAAACCTCTATAAGAAAGCGGGCAGGTTGGAAATGATTTGTCTTACCTAATACTGGCTATCTAAATGTTATGTATGTACTCAGAGTTAATGGTCTCAAGTCGACGTGCTGTGAGTGGACAGGCGTTTTCAAAGGGCATAGGGTCATCCTACATCACTTAGCTATGTGCTTTAGATTAGGATGAATCATTCTATGGAAGATGCCTACCTGTCTCTGTCTGTGTAGTCTTCACAAAAAGACACAAGATGACTGCCTTAACCTAAGTGCCTAACTTCTAGGTGCCTGAGTTACAGCAAATGACCCCTGTCTTTAGCTAGCTGTCTTTAGTTGAGGGGTAATAATACTCTCCTACCTTATAGGAATGTTGTGTGGGTAAACACACAAAGGAAGCTATCGTTGTGAAAATACAACATAAAACCCAATACTTATTTTAATAATACTTTGTAACATTGTGTATCTATTATAATTATGCATATAATTAAAATCACAAATATGTATATGTGTGTGTGTATTTTATGTGGTTGCCTCAGAGTTTTGAACACAGTGCTAAAAGTCAGATCTTAAGGGTGCAGGATAGAGAAATGGAGGCTTTTGCTTCCCTAGGAAATACGTAGCTGTTCCATGGCAATATTCTGATTAACACATTGCGCAAAGGCAGAACTGCAAAATGCCTGGCATGGATATGGAACTCTAAGTCATGCTGATTTGCGGTGGCTGTTTTTCTTCTTTTTAGATTGTGATGGATTTCAAACACCCCGATGGCCGTACAGTGGCAATTATGCTGCCCCGACGCAGTTTGCTGGTGATGACTGGAGAATCCAGATACCTGTGGACACATGGGTATGTGTAAAAGCCCCTACGTTGCTGATAATAGGAGAAGAATATGTGTGGTTTGTTTTTGTTAATGTTATTTTGTATTTAAAATTGCTCTGAAATAAATGAAGTAGAATTTTGTAGTTAACTATGCAAATTCCCTCCTCTGCCTTATGCTGCTCAGGTTACATTGAAAAATTGATAGTTTTGGGAAGCTAATTGCCAGTGCCTGAGGTGCGGTTTTTTCCTACTGTCACAAGCTAAGTTTCACTCAGTAGTTGTTGTAACGTTCATCTTTGCTGTGAAAGCCCTCAGTGACTCTAATCTGACAAAGAACTGAATGTAGGAGAAGTAGCTTCACCATTTCTCTTTGCTCTTTTCAGTACACAGCTTTTCTGAATGTATCACATATGCCAAAGTCTTTGGAGGAGAATTGGCTTAAGAGATTTAGTTCCCCTGCATAGAGGGCACGGGCGGGCACAAAGTACAGTCTCCCTGAGCTTTTTCCAGTTGCCTTAAGGCCACTTTGACTACTGATAAGGCTGCATTGTACTAAACAGGCGTAGGATCCTGGAAAAGAGATTCTTGAAATGTGTCTTGAGGCTTTGCTTATTATGGAGATGAAATACATGCTTTTTAAGTCGTGCACCACTGGGAAGTACTTACAATAGGAGTGCTGAAGTTGGCAAAAAGGGTAAAAGCTTGGTGAGCTCTGAGAGTGACAGTAGTGCACTTCAGAAGGATATGTAAATCCTCATGTTGGACAGAAAGGCCCCCGGGAAATGCTTCTTCCTTTGTTTGACCCAAACAGTCACTGGTTACAGCAGTGGCGAGACTTCTTATATTCTGTGTAAATTAAGCACCAAATCCCTTTATCGGCGGAAGATTTTCTGCCTTTTAATTTTACTAGTTGATTGGTATTATGAAGAAGGGTGAATAAGGACTCCCAAGTGACCTTTACATAGTTTGTTTTTATAGACCACTTATGCCACCTGTATATTCCCTCATTAAATTAAATAGTTATAAAAAGCAGCTGTTGCTTCTGACATGCATCGTTACAGAAGCCCAGGGCAATGAAGCCCTTGGTTTATTGGTACACCGGATTGAATGTGGATATCAGCATTATAAGCTGCTTAGTATAAGCTTCTGTCCTGTGACATACTGTCAGTCTCCTTTTGGAAGGATTATCTGCAACTCTGAGAACCTAATTTGGTCTCCATTTCAATGACTTTGCTGGCCTCAATGTTGTCATTGTCAGGGCACAGCAGGAGCTGGTGGTTCCTGGTGCTGGTATCAGCGGGGGCTCCTGGTGGCGGCAGGGCCGGGCCTCGGGCCTCGTAGCTAGGGCCCGTCCCACCACCCTGTGAGGGAGCAGAGCTGCTGGGACAGCCTCAGTCCTGGCGTTGGGCACTGCTGCAGGGATGGACTGAGGCTTGGCCGGGCGAAGGCCCGTGGGTTGGGGTTGGCATGAGGCCCGGTGAGGGTAACTGGGGTCAAACACAGCCCTGCGATGGCCAGGCAGCACTTGGGCTGAGGCTGGGCCGGGCTGTTGACCCATGGGTCCAGTCGGAGTGCATGGGGCCATGGCTAGACAAGGCCACGACTATGAAACATCTCGGCCTGTAGCTCAGGCAAGGCCAGGGGAGCCTCAGCTGAGAAGCAGCTCCCAGGGGAAGGAGGGATGGCCCTTGCTGAGGCTGGTGGCTTTCTTTGTGATGTCTTTCTTCATGGCAGCTTTCTTCACAGCCACAGCGGTGCTTAGCCCAAGCTGGCCCTGAGCCCTGGCAGCCAATGCTCCAGGAGGAGGAAGGATGCGCTCAGGGCACTTACAGTGACTGCCAGCAGGCAGTCTAGTTGGACTAGTTGTAGTTGTGTACCTGCCTATTAAGAACTGGAATGAAATCATTACTTACACTTGTACCTTCAAAAAGATGGTTATCTTCTGAGAATCAAAGATACAAACTGAATTCAAAATGAAGATCTCAAATCTGTCTGCCTGGGTACAGTTACTTCTGTCCCCAGTGCTTGTCTGTCTTTCCTATAAACAGTTTTTTGAATGATAAATGTTTTGTAAAGCAGTCGTGGGAGCAGATAATCAGTTGGGGTAAAGAGATACTGGCATATCTTTATTTCAGAAGGTGTAGTACCCACTTTCTGTCTTCCTTTTAATTTTGTTCCGGTTATCTTCTTTTTCCTCTAATACTTGTTCATTGCAACACCAGCTGTTTCTCACCTCTTCACCTGGTGAAGGCTTTATTGCTAAGTGGACGCTTTGTGCAAATAACATTTGAAAGGAAGGAAGCTAAAGAGAGCAGAGATAACAGAACAGACTTACATAGTTTGCTATTGAAGCATGGCATTGCAATCAACAAGATTAATCATCCTGCAAGCAAGTGTAGTCAATTCACTTGCATATATAACATCAGGATGTATTTAAGATCATTTGTAATGCCTTTTATCTGCTCCTCACAAGTCAAATTAGAGAGAGCAAGAGGTTCAGTTTTGGACTCATTCTGGAAATGTTTTCAATGTGTATGTTTGGATGCCAAGGGAATTAGAGACTTCATTTTAACCCTATTAACAGGGTATCCAGAAAAACGGTTTTTGTTCTTTCTGAAAACATGTGTTTCTGAAAGAGAGAGCTGTGGTTAAGAAATAAGCTATACTATTTCATCATGGAGAACAAAGGAAATGTGGAAGGGTATGTCCTCCTTTTGTCTTGTAGGTGAAACTCAACAGAGAAAAACTTAATTTTACTTTCCTTTTTGGTTGGCTGACCTGGCAAACCACCATTCCTGACCCTGCGACAGGAAAAGAAGCCTGTGTCAAGCAAGATGATGTGCAGCGTTTTCTTTTTGACACTGGGAATCCTGTTTTTAGCCCAGTCTTTATCTAGAGTCTTTTTCGTAGCACAGGCTAAAGGAAATCATGTAGGCTGAAATTGTAGAACCTTGAAAAAGGAGACTTCTGTCTGAAAATACTAGCTCTTGCATGCGTAGCTTTTCACTGCAGGAGCAAAAAGAACTTGATGTAAACATAGAATCCAGTGGAAAAGCTGCAAAATCTCAGGACTGCTGTCTGGGAATTCTTGGTGAGGTCTCACCTTATTATTTTGTCATAGCTCCATTGACTGCTATGGGACATGGCAGTCTTTTGTTAGAGTCAATCCTTTCTATGGCTGCCTCTGAGATTTCCATCTTCAGAACTGCTCCGTGTTTCATTTATGAAAGATTTAGACAGAATATTAATCTGTTGCTTCCTGATTTCCAGGCAGGTGCTGCAGTCTTTCTCCCTCTGCCTGGATTAAAGGTCAGCTTCACTGCGATAGGGAAGCTTATGTACAAGGAAGGACATTGCAAGCAGGTTGTTCCTCTTGATCAAGTACAGGCACTGATCAGCAGTTTCATGTGACCTGCAAAAAAGTTCCAATAGAAATTTGAGGTGAAACTCAATGCTGTGCTGTACTAAAAAAGTATAAGACACTTTTCCCCTATTGGCTGTGAGAGTTAAACTTGGATTAACCAATAGGGAGGTCAGTTTTAAACTGTGAGTCTGTCCCGCTTGGGGTCAAGCGCTTTGAAGTCAGCAATTCTGAAGGGGCTTCGCTGTGAGGCCAGTTCCTTAGAGATGATCTCTTTGTCTTGAGGAAAATTGTGCATTAATCCTGCTAACTAAGTTAGGAAACATTTTAGCGTGACAGTAACAGCTTTGAAGTGCTAAGCTGTTTCCCTATTTCAGTTTTGTTCCAAGAATATCTACTTTATCCCCTGTGCGCTTGCACACAGATTGCACGGGATGGTAGGCCACATGTGGGTGCAGCTGTATCTCTTCTCTTTTGTATGGTGTTTCCTAGTTTACTTTCTTATTTTCCTCTTGTCGCCTTTGAGAGAGTTTCATCTGCAGTAGAGCTATTCAAAATTCACATTTTTGGTACCTTTTCACAGTGTAAATCTCTTCACAAAATTATTTGAAACTTTTGTCACCCCAGAAAAGTTCCAAGTCACTTTAATTTTGTGAATTTTATCCTTGCAAAAATGTATTTACTTTCCATTAAAATCTGTGCCAGCTCCAGAAGTAAGTTAAGACACTCTGCTCCCATTTTGCTTGACTGATAGATTACGGTCAAGAAGAATGATCTGCAGTCTAGTTACTCCCTTTAGGCGTTTTAGCATGTCACCAAAGTGCTACATTCTTTGCATCTTCTGCGGTGAAAAAGTGACAAGGCAATGCTGTTACAAATCAGAATTCATTGAAGAGGCTGGTTTGTAACAAAGAATTTCAATATGCTAGTGCAGAGGTAGTCAATGCTATTCTTTTATGTCCGTAGCCACTATTTTTACCGGTGTATTTTTATCTTTAACAAATATATTTCAGATAAAGTCATGGAAAATAAACAGCAGAACTTTATGGAAGGTAGGGAAGGAAAGGAAGGGAAATGTAATTCCTTGCAAATAAAGAATCTCTTTAATTAACCTCATTGACTGATGTGTCAGCACCTCTCTTTTTTTTTTTTTCCTCTGAAATTGAATAAGTTGAAAACTCAGACGCGGCAGTGCATTAAATAGCTTGCTGTAATCACACTTGTCATAGTATTTAAGAATTGTCTTCTTAAAAAGATTGACTTTTTTTCTGATGCAAATAAAATTACTCTCTTATTTTGTGTTACTGTGTATTAGGATTACACCCCGAAAATATGATGTCATTCAAGCGTCTGAGCTTGGACAGAAGGTTGGAACAATCACTGCTGATGTTGGAGATTTAACATTAAATCGAAGGGAAACAAGGACATCGTTCACATTCAGGAAAGTGAGGAGAAGCCCTTGCAATTGCAGTAAGTGTTATGAGGTGATCTTTATGTCAAAAGCGTTGTTTGTTTACTGCCAGTGTGTAAGCATTGTTTTGAACCCTGTGTAAAATATATATTCTAATTTTGTTTTTTTTTTTTTTAACCCTCAAAGCTGAAACCTTGGATCACATGGATATTTTTACATGTCATTGCGTTTGGCATTTTCTGTATCCAATTCTTATTTTTTCAAGTCCGACACGTGATTGCCCAAACCCATTCTGCCCTACAAGGAGAGGGAGGATCTAAGGCTAATACAAAGGCTGGAACGCAATCTAGGTCTTGGCTACCTTTTTTGATGCTGCTTTTTTGTGGAACCTCGCACAAATCGGTGCATCCCTTTGGGTAGTTTTGGCAGCCCTGGAAGCCTTTCCCGAATGGACTCGGTTTAGCCATACCATATGGCTTGAATTGTTTGCATCCGTATGGTTACTGGAGTTTCTCTGTACAGGAAGGCATTTGACTTGCTCCAGAGCTAGACAAGTAATCTGGGATCTTGGATATTATTGAGACCTCAAGTGCCAGAATAATATAACGATATAGACGTATCCACTGTTTCTCAGGTTACCATCAGTTTTGAATATTTTTTTATTTGAAAGGGACTGTAATTTTGTGAAAATAAGAACATTAGAAAATGAGAATCACTCAGAGCCATGCAGCTACCTTAGGGCAGTATAGATAATTGTTGACCCACCTATCTATTATTATGTGGAAATGAAGTCCATCTACACCCTCAGAACAGAATTTCACTGGAATTTCAGAGGCTGTATTGCAGTAATGTCATGATCTTTCACGTTAGTGGCAGTGCCTCAGTTTTGAAAGCACAAGCCTTGTTAATATTGGGCAGCAGGTTGAAAGATCACATTGCAAATGGTTTCTAGTAAGCGTGAACAGATTAGTTGTTTTAAAGTCATCAGACACCTCTGCAGTCTGACCTGCATTTTAGTTTTTAAAAGGTAAAGAGGGAGTGAAGCATATATCGCATTTTAAGTTTCCACTTTTTTTTTTTTTTTTTTGCTAAGTTAAGCTTAACCAACAAGGAATGACTGTTAAAATTTTTCTTGTTTGTATATCTGTTGCTACATCTAGTTTACCCATCTGTCTGCGACAGCCAAAAAGGACAGCAAAGACAGGGGCAGCCTTCATTTCCCCTCAGTGAGATGGAGGCCTCAAAGCTGGAACAAGAATATGTACACAAGGTGTATGAAGAGATTGCAGCACACTTCAGCAGTACCAGGCATAGCCCATGGCCCCAGATTGTAGAGTTTCTCAGGTCTTTACCAAAAGGGGCAATAGTGGCTGATGTTGGTTGTGGTAATGGGAAATATCTAGGCATCAACAAGGATTTGTACATGGTAAGTAGCTACTGTCATTTGTTTTCTCTTTTTATTAGTATTAATGTTTATTCCATCATGCTGTTGTAGTATTTTGGAGTTTTAGTTGTGGGAAGAGTGTCAAGAACGGAAAGCTGTTTACTGATCCAAGATGGATTACCAATTGCATTAGGTTTCCACACCCATTCACTACGTACATTACCCTTTTCTTTTTCAAAGCCACTTTTGCTTTGCAAGTCAGTATACTTTAATAAAAATTTGTAATGGAGGTAGTAGATAAAAAAAATGTAGTGGCTGTTTTGGCCTTTTTTTGTGAATAAGCTTAGTGAAAGGGAAAGTAGTTGGGCTGTTTGAGTTCTTCCAACAGGTTTTTGACTTAGCTAGTGGGTGGGGGATGCAGTGTGCATGTCCCTGAAATCTCCATAGGCAGTAGTTCTTTTCATATATCCACTTTTAGCTCTCTTTGGCCTGGTGGCATAGCTCATTTGTGAATCGTGTCACTTTTGGCCGTCCCACCTCTGACTCTCTGTGCATAAACCGAATAAATAAGTCCACGTAAGATTCAAAGGGGAATGTTAACTTCAGCACAGACTTCTGGCCTTTCCCTTTCTCACTCCTTCTTTTTCTCACTTTTCCACAGTCCTGACGTAATTCTTGCTAATGTTCTCACCATCTTCCCTATCTTGCTGTCTGTACTTAACCCTGTTCGGAGACATGAGGCACGTAACAGATACAAATCAAGAGATTGTTTTTATTGCAAATATTTCAAAGGCTTTTTTGTGAGGGGTAAACTTTCTGTTGTTTCTTTTACCAAAAAAAAAACCTGAGAGGTGTGCATTATGCTATCTGCTGTCCCCTGTTAAGAATTCTTTAATGTGTTTGAACTGTGAAACACTTTGAAATCCATCAAGCTTGAAAACTTCTATGTAAGGCAAAACATTCATTATTAATAATAAGTCAGACTTGTTTATCTCTTGCAGGAGTTTGTCCTGCTATTTATATTCGACTATAAAATATAAGTTGTTATTTACAGCCCTGTCTGTATTTGTAATGCCTTTATTTCCATTACTGTTCTTATAAGCCAGAAAAAAAACTGATTTATAAGTAGGCATGCTTATGCCTGACTGTTGTAGCCTGAAAATAATTGTCCATGTTAAATACGTTTCAGTCTTTCACTCAGGATTGATCACTTTCCTGTAAGAGAAATCAGAAGACCTAACCAGAGGGAAAAATTTTTCCCAGGGAATCATGTAGGTCACCTGGTCCTAGAATGGATATGGTAAATTGCTCGTTTATAGGTGTGTGGTAGGCTTTTAAGCCAAAATCTGTGCAAGATGCTGTATTCAGAACCTCCTAGGTCCATTTTCTGTTTTCTGGAGCACAGAGTTAACCAGCTAAGGGGAAAAAAGAACCTGCGTTTGCTAGCAGTCAAATGAAAACCAGCCCCTCTGTGTTACTATCTTATGAGTTACCTGCTAGTGAGGTGAGGACAATGAGACGATCCAAGGGGACCTGGCAATTTGGGAGCAGATTAAACCGTGCAGCAGTCTCTTTTCTACTGAGGGGGGGAAAAATATACTTGTGACCCGTTTGGTTCCGTTTATCTGATGAAACTCATGATCACAAAATACCAGTGAAGCCAAGCAGTGAGCAACAGTCATAAGGATCAAACTCATATAAGAGAGACGTAAGACCGCTTTGTTCATACATAACCAAACCCCTATTCTTTGACCCGAAGGAAAGGGCCAGTAGACAGGACTTAGCAAGATACTTTGCATGTGGTCAACTTATTAGAGAATGATATGTCCTGATGCTTTTTTGTGCATCTTTCTCTAAAGCAACTGGTAATGACTATTATTTGAAGCAAGATAATACTTTAAACAGTTTGCATTTCCTGTAAATGTGAAAGTGACTGATGTCAGTTCTTTATTTTATAGGTACTGATTTGTTGGGTAATCCGTATGCATCCATTCCATAATGGAATTTTACTTGTTTCCTTGCCATAGTGCTCTATAAGAAGCACTGTGGAACATCTCTTAGCGTTGTTTCAGTATTATCCCAAGCAGCCAGTCTCTTTGGTTTGGAATGGTATGTTGGATAAGCCAGCAAGTTCAGCCATTCTTTTTATCTGATGGAGAAAGCAGCAGTCTTTTCGTCTTTTTGTGTTCCTTCTGGATTCTTATTTGGGCTCAGTGGAAGGGACTGATTACAGTCATATTTATCATGTTGTGTTAATTCCATTTACTGTGGGTTGGACGTGGATGCGAAGGTGAGGGGCTGCTGAACGTGCTTCATGTATCAGATGCATTGTTGGAATAAGGGGAATGCTCTTTAGATGTAGGCCCTCAGTTTCGTCCCCCGTTTACTCCTCTTGATTTGGCAGGGGGGAAAACTCAAGCAGAATCTTCATCTGTTGCTTCAGTCTTTCCTTCAAAACAATTGTTATGGCTCTTTTTGTGTGTCTGTACGCACCGTGCAGTGGAGCTCTTGGCCTAGGTCCTGTTGGGAAAGATGCAATAAAGCAGTCCTGGGAAATTAAGAGCTACTTAGGGCTTAGGTAGAGCACTATCAATATAACCATGCAGCTTGGAGTATTTTTACTCAGAGATACTGAAATTTAGACAAAATGACCTGGGGCAAGCAGTTTCTGAAGGCAAGTCATGTGCTCTAAAGGTTATTGTACGTTTTTTAGGTAGGATACTTTAAGCAGCAGCTCTAATGGTATGTCAAAGCTAAGGTAGCTCTCCTGAAGTTTTGATCTGTCTGAAAATGTCCCTGCAGTGGCCTGTGCTATTGTATTTGCTTCAGTTTCTTTTGATGATTACATATAGCCTTGTCTCCTTGGCTGTTGTTATGTGACAATGAAATGAGCATGAGTCCAGGCATGCTCAGTGAAAACGTCAGTACCATAATTATTCTGACACAATAAAGAACAGCAATTTCAGAAATTCAGGCTAAGAATGTTTGCACAAGAGATGGAATCCAAGTCTGATGTTGTTAGGAGAAAGGAGGAAGATGGAATCTAATAAAGTCTGAGATTATTTTTTTTTCTGTCTCTCTCAGCTTTAATTTTTGTTTGAAAGAAGGCAGAAGAGCCAGAGAAATGGCTTTAGTGTTTTGCACAGTCTGCTCCCTCATACCCCAGTCTTATTTGGGAGAATTATTTTGACAGCTTTTAGTTAAGTGTTTTCAAGCTTAATGTTCATATCTATAACCAGGGCTTTCATTTTTACAAAATGCTACATTTCAGCCTTACCTGTCCACCCCATCACCACAACTACTTCGTTCCAGAGCCTGTCGGCGTCGTTGCAGTGTGTCTCATAAATTTTTGAGAGCTTTAGCTCTGTCTCCCAGTTTTCAGTGCCCAAATGGGGTGGTGATGTATGAGTCCCCGTGGGAAGGTACAATATCCACGCACACCTATGATGTGAGTGAAAGACATTGCAGCCTTTCAGTTTTGTGGTTTTAATTTAGCGCTTTTAATTAAACTGAAGCATTAGTGGGAAATGACTGAAAATGCATAGGCAGATCTTTTTCTATATATATAAAGAAATGACTCTACCTGTCAGAATATTGAGGCTAGGAAGAAAACTAATAGTAATGTAAGAGTCCAAATGGTTAGGTTTAATACAGAAATTTCTTTTCTGTTTGGCTTGTCACCCAAAGATGTCAATGTATTTTATGAACCTCAGCTAATGAGTAATGTTGCTTATATTTGACATTAACTTGTAAGGCATCTTGTAAGAAGATTTTCTGCTGGTTGTGTAACCACGGATGAATTTTTATTGCGCTAGGTCTGTGTTGCTTGAGAACAGATACCAATTCAAGGGACTTAGTAGCAAGTAAAAGCAGGTAGGACAGGACTGACTGACAAAGGTATACCTGGAGCCAAGTGTATTTTAGCGATTGGAGGGGAGGTGGAGGAACCTTTCTTGCCTTTTATTTCTCAGTGAATAGGAGTCGCTGAAATGATGTGAGATTTTGGACTGAGAAGAGCTCAGGAGGAACTGGGCAGCAGGAACACAAAATCAGAAAGAATACCGAATTACTTGACTGGATTCTGATGCTTTGTCATTGAGAAATGAACTTCCCATTTTAGACACAGCATTTTGTTTCCACGAGCGCCCTGACTTGTGCTCAATGGACAAAACACTACGTGAAAGAAATGCTAAAGGCCTGACTCAGACCAGCTGGAGCAAGGACATTTTTCTTTCTTGCTGTGGCTGTGCTGTTGTCTCTTTTCCTACTTGCGTGTGTGTTTGGAATGTAATTTGGTTCCTTGAGGCTCTCGTGCTATTAGTTATAGCTGAGGTGTTTCTCTGGGGAAACAAATAATTCCATTTGGTGGTTGAGTTTCAGAATTAGATGTGGTTTTCTTCATCAGTTTCTAATGAGCTGAATCAACCAGGTTTCTAGAGAATTAAATGAACTAATTCTGCCAGGTAGAGTTGGTTATAAAGAGATAACATACAGAGAAAATATATAATAGTGGGCAAAATCAGCCTGTCTTTATCTTTATTTAAGCTTGCAGGAGGATTATCTTTTGCAGAATTGCAGTACCATTAAAAAGTAAGTTATTTATTTAGTGTGTTTAGGCCCTGAATGATCCATTCCAAACCACTGCACTAAACAGATTTTATAAAAATTATTTTGGCCACCATTGAAAAGCAGCCACTGCTGGCTGAAGCAGTGGAGGTGAGGTCACTGGGAACCTAGAGGATCAGGATGGGATTTCTGTCTGTGTTATCCCATTCCCAGGAATCCAGTACAGAGCTGCTGGAAACTTGGGCAAATCACAGGTTTAACATTTCTCTCTCCCCTGCCTTCTCCCCATCTTAATCTTTTTTGTTATTTTTCTCATCTATGTAAAGGTTTGCGTTTCCTGATGTGCTCTAATTAGAAGGTGTCGTATGTCAGAATGACCACACACTTCTGTTTCCTCTGTGAGGTTTTATCTCCACTGGGGTTCCACTTGCAGAATTGCAGGCCTCAGGACTAATGTGGCTTATACCAGGACAGGT